CCGGGAGCGCAGCGCCCGGAGCGACTGTCCACTTCACAGTTCTCACCTGCAGGGCGAGACGAGAGCTGGGGACACGTCCTGGCTGGGGGGCACGCAGTGAGCACCACCCCCTGCCCCGAGCGCGGGCCTCAGCACGGCTCTAGGGCAGCTGGAGCCAGTGAGGGACGTGACAACCCGGGTGTCACCCAAGGCTCCCCCAAGCAAGACACCACTGCCAGCCCTGCAGCACGAGCCACTGGGCTGGATGGGATACCAGCTCCGGCTGAAGGGGCAAGTTTGGTCTCAGGGTAGGATGGGAATGGGACAGGAAGGGACTGGCCATGGCTGGGCTGCACAGTCCTAACAATGGAGACGCAAGGACAAGCCAGGGAAGTCCTGGCAATGCTGAGAGGGCCTCTTTGGGCACTGCCACTGTACCAGCCTGGGACAGGCATCACAGCCCTGGCTCTGGGGTGTGGGGACAGCCCAGGACCACTGAGCTCCCCTGCCAAGAGCTATGGAAGTCTCACCTGCCCTGACCTAATCCTGCAGGCTCTGACATAGGAGCAAAAGCCAAGTGGAAACCAGCCAGGTGAGGACACCAAATACCCTTGCACCTTGCTGGTGTAGGTACCAGGGACGTCCCCGACCAGCTCAGCAGCGCAGGGTTCTGGCCAGCCCCTGTTCCCATACAGCACACAGAGAACTGCTCAGCCTCAGCCACAGTCCTACACCCCAGGGCCCTGCTCCCATTACTTGCTCAATGGCATGAAAGGAGGATGAGGAGACAGCATGAAGTGACAGGGAAACGAGCTCATTAACCCTTCTGCTAATGGCTGTTCATGCTTCAGATGCCGGGGGTTAATTACCACTGACTCTGTTATCTCACCAGGAACCACGATAGGAGAGCAGCTCCGAGGCAGCCATCTGCTGCTGCACTCCCCCTAGCAGCCACAGCCCACCGTCCCCAGTGGGCAGACATTGGTCTCCACAACCTGCTGGGAACTTGTGGCAAAAAGACACTGTCTGGTCCAGGGATTACGCCATGGCTGGGACCAGATCCGCATGGATCGGATCCTGCCTGGTGGTGCAGCTGGGCCCAGCCTCCCCTTCTGTTCTGGGGGATTAGCAGCTCCCCTAGCGCATATGGGGCCAGCATGGGCTCCACAACTCTGCAGACAAGCTGAAGGCTGGCACAGGCTGAGACCAGCACCTCTGATGGCCCCAGGGCCCAGCACTAGCATGAGGCAGGGCCAAGGAGCCTCCTGTGCCCCTGGCAGGGTCCAGCCTGGTCCTGCTCTGTGAGAAAGGCTGGGAGGTGGCACCAGGGTCCCCCGAGCCCTCCATCCCACCTCCCTACGAGACAGATTTCTATGGCAACCTCAGCCCTGCACATCCAGCACCATGGAAACACGGAGAGCCGGGAGCAGAGCTGGACCTCTGAGGACAAAGAGGGGCTCCACCACCCTGCTGGGAAAAGCACCCCACCACGGTGACAGCAACACCAAGGGACGTGCTCACTGTGCCCTCAGGCACTCACCGATGAAGTGCTGGCGGCAGACGCACGTGTATCCCCCCTCCTTGCGGGGGCAGCTCCCGCCATTGCGGGCGGGGG